CGAATCGTTCGCGATGCGCCGGAGGTGCGGGGGAAGGCATCGCTCACGATAATCCGTGCGCGCAGGTCGACATTCCACTTTGATCGAAATGGCGCGGCCCTAAACCAGTGGGCCGCCGAGCAAAGTTTGCGCAAGTAAACATCGTCAAATGAGACATTGGTCAATTTGCGGACGACAGAGCCGTCTGCGGAGTGGCCAGAGCACCACTTAAAGTCAACGAGTGACCGAATGGCTACAAGTAGATACAGACAGATTCTGACAAGGGGCAGACAAATGTTGACTTATCGCTGTCACAGGAACGGCCGATCAATAACTGTCGAGAAGGCTTTACCATGATTTCATCTAAGCCGACACTGCTCTACGCAACAGCGCCACTCCATAAATGTTTGTTGATTACCTTTATTTCTCGAAATTATTATCAAAATCTGGAGGGGGAAAGGGAAAAAACAAAAATACTAGAAACGTGATGAGTGTTTATTTTACTTTCATGCAGTTAGCATGGCCGCGCTTACATCATTAGTGTTCAACTGAGGCTATTCAGTCACCCCGTGAATAAATACTGTGACCTGTTTGACAGGCTCTCAGACAAACGCCATCTTATGCTGATATATGGCTCCTGGAGACGGGACAGCCCAAAGTCGTTAAACACCGCGGGCTTAAAATATGGGGCTTTGTGCCACAATCCGTCCACTAAGGCGGTGGTGTGCAGGGATTTAGAAGCGCTGTCAATCCATCAAGGAATCGTCACCCGAACAGCACCGGGGGAGACACGCGCACTCAAGCCAGACCCCAGAGACATCGCCAGACATGTGAGAGAAAAAAACGAATGCTCACTGAATTCCAGTGTGCTCTGATAATTACAGACATGTATTCGTGTATGTGTGTGTATATATATCCTATACATACGGCATCTGGCCGAGTGGTGCCGTGGTTATGAAACATGTATGCGGCAGAGACTGATCAATTTCACACTCGTGGTGGGGAGTACGCAAGCCTGCTAACAATGAGCAATTAATAAAGCAATCCTATACCTATGCATTTGAGCCAAGTTGCCGTGGCACACCGAAGTAATCCAGTACTTTGGAGGTGAGGCTTGGTGGGATCACACAGATGTGTGAAACTCTTAAACCCGCTGGGGCTGCGAGGTGGCCAGGAGCGAGTAGTACAGCAAGTACATTTCGTCTATTTGTACGGAGCTATGAGTGTAATTTCCTGTTAAGTGTGCATTTTCTCTAGACTTCCCTGTTTCCTCCCACGTGCCAAAACTCATTAATACAATTAGCCAAACATCCCAATAGTGCAGAACCCTCATAAAAGTTTTGAGATTCAGAAACGCTGTCTCCTGCAAATACATAGGATGAAAAAGTCTAAGTTATTTTTTGCACAAATTAGTGTCTAATTCATAGGACAACCACTATTAACCTTCCCACAAAGTGGTACTTGTTTTTTTTGACCCGAGAGAGATATGGACGGACACACAACCACCAATCAGGATTTGGACTCGCAACCTTCTAATTGCGAACCGCTCGCTCTACCGCTGAGCCACATCGGCATCGCCCCGATGTGTAATACGCAACTGTGATCATCCTTCCCCTTGCAGAGTAAATTCTCATTTCAGCAGCCAAAACAACGCGACCCAAAAGAACGATGTGCGGAGACGGTTCTCACCCCGCGGGGTCATAATCACACCTTTCACAAAAAAATGGCTGCAAAACGTTGCGCCGACGATTCGTCCCGTCGTTTGTAAATGGAGAAATTTGACGGACTTTTCATCACAATTCGGATGAAAGGGGAGCCGCGTTCGGCCAATGCACGATTCGGGGCCAAAATATCTTGCGATATGAAGGCGCCTGTCGTGATATCGTGCTACTGCAACAAAAAACCTCACAATCAAGAGGGCCAATTTATAAAATGGCGCACCATTTTATGCAGGTTTAAAAAAATAAAAAAAATAAACTTATTAAGGAAATGTTTTTTTTTTTTAATTTCCAAGCGCTACGGAGTTCAGCGCAAAAAAAAAAAAACCAGGTCACGCTTCACAATGCGAGGCTAGCCACTGCTTTCATGAATGCTATTGTGCTGTGAAGACTTTAGCTACCCCCTGGGCTGTTTATTTTTCTGTAGCCCCCAAAGTCACGTTTGGCTTCTGTCACTGCTCCGCCTTTTAAACAACAACCCTAGGGGGTCCATTCGCTGCAAGGCTGCACATTGGTCACAGAAAACATAAGGCTCGGGTGAACGGACAATCTAAACGAAAGATATCGAGTACAATTTAAAAAAAGAACCAAACCAATTACATTGAAAACCGCGTGAATTTCTTTCGCGGACCCAATGTGTGTTATATATTTTTAGTGTTATCCCCTTTGTTGTGTATATATTTTCTCCGTGAACAGTTTTCTTTCATCTCACAAGGACGGAAATCACTCGTGATGAAAGCATTACGATTCGCAGAGGCTTTGCTGGAAGAAACAAAGAATAATCATAATAAATGTATAAATCTCTCGCCCTTGAAGTGGTCAGAGTAACTCCGTGGTCAGAGCACCGGGCTGGCACCACTGGGGGGACCTGAGTTGGAATCCAGGCAGATGTCTGCGCTTAAACTTGGTCCTCCAGTGTAGTGAGTTGATGGTGAGGTGTGCGTTGTGTTGCCACCCTCCCACCCTATTGGGTGCCAGGGTGGCGCAGTGGTAACCCTTGTGCCTCACAGCAAGAAGGGCCTGGGTTCGATTCCGAACTCGGGCGCCTCTCTGTGTGGCATCTGTGTGTTCTCCCCCTGTTCTGAATGGGTTTCCTCCGGCTTCTACGATTTCTAATCCAATGGCTAAATGAACAAAACGCAATGTAACTGGTATTGCACAAACACACCAATTCTAATAAAAGTACGTGAAAATTACTCATTTGGGATTAAAACCTAGCAACATTGCACACTACTACGAATATTCTGCAGGACCCTCCTGATAAAAAAATCTTGAGACTCAGTGAGTCTGTCCTGGGTAAACTAGAATAATAATAATAAGCGTGGTTTAGCCTGGACAGTTCTCGGATGGGTAACCACCTTTCCCAGCGGGTTGTTGAACTTTACATCGATGCTCTCTCGCACGTGTGCTCCCTGCCTTTGTCAACTTGCATTAGCCAGCATGGTGAAGTATAGTAAAATATATATATATAACCCCGATGACCCACAGGGTGTGAGAGGAAGCCTTAATTCAACATTGAATTGACAAAAAGGGCCGCACAGGTACAAATATCACTTACTATAAATGTTCGTACATTGGCATTTGGCCAGTGTATAATAACATTACTGACGCACGATACATCCATCTCTTTTTACAGAGCACAAAGATCATCATCCGGCGTCGGAGTGTGGCAGGACTGCAACGCGAATCTCCAAGTTGTTTCAGGGCCATCACATTCCGGGTCCATTCTCTTGACATTGTGTGATGCTCTTGTGACCTTCGTCGTGCGAATCCTCTCATCCCATTGCACGTGGCAGGGTGGGAGCACGCTAGCACCAACAACAACCTTGCAATTGTAACGGAGCAGAACCTATTATCCGTGTGATTCAGTGCAAGTTCTCATTATTATTATTTTTACGAACGCTAATGCCGCGGTAAAGCCAGAGGAGGAGTCGCTCGCACGCTCACTTCCTCTTACCCACACACGGGCCGAGATGCTCGCCCCATCTCTTGCCCACGCAGCGGAATGAAGGACCACGCAGACGCGTCCGTCTGATAGGCAGAACGCGCGCAGTGGGGGTCAAGTGTGGCTGGTCGAACCTCTTCCAAGAAGTTTGGTCATCGTGGAAGAGTAGGGCCACATTATTGCTCTGTCGGGGGCTCTCAAGAGCCCCCTCTTAGTGGAGGCCCCTTCCACCAGCAGCGGATGGAGAAAGATATTTTCAGTGCTGCACCTTTACCTTATTTCACCTCCGTGGGCGGAGTTCGGGGTGAGCGGGGGGGGGGGGGGGCGCACGGGAGTGTAGCGCTCCCCCCCCCCCCAATAAACTGGGCACATTTATTAATTTATTTTAAATAAAACAATTATTTTTGTCTTCTTTGGTTCTTTCGGTAAAGTCACGTAGAATGAGAATAAAATAATAAAATTATTGATGAATCCTTGCAGTCACGAAAGCTTTAAATCGAAATTATTTTTGTCCCCCGGTTCCTAATGTGAGGGCCTAAGCGAACACCTGCCCCACCGCCACATGCAGAAGTGAAACTCTGCCTGCGTTTACCTCGGCGCTGCTACCGAGAGACCACTCCCGCTGACTCTCAGCCCGCACGGCGGCTCAGGTAATGCGATGGGTTTGAAAGCCACTTGGGAGTCACTCCTTTTATTCACACAAAAGTGCAGGCCGTGCGGAATTGTGTTTTTTAATCGACGTGTGGACAAACATGACGGTGCATGGATCAGTTTCGTGGTGTGGATAATAGGAAGAACACATAAGGGGCCGTCCATAAATGACGTCACGCGATTTTGGACGATTTTTGAACCCCCCCCCCCCCCATCGTCAAACGGCGTCACAAAAAAGTCAGGCCCCCCCCCTCAAATATGACGTCACAAAGCTCTGCCCCCCCCCCCAAAATAAAACATGCTTCAAATCGCTTTAAACTATTGTCATTGTAGCGCGTATTTAATGTGGCGCTGCACTCTGATGTTGTAAGAAAAAAACATTTATTAAAAAGTCTACTTAATTTAAATAGAAGGTGTTGTCTATATTTATTTAAAGTTGCGCATTTTGATGTGACGTCACATTTCTCAAACCCCCACACCCCCCTCGTCACACATCGTCACAAATGTCTGACCCCCACCCCCCCCCCCCCCCCCCTTAGGTGCGTGACGTCATTCATGGACAGCCCCTAAGATGTCAGTGAGAGAAGTGTCACTCCGAAGGAAAGAATATTATATTCCGACATAACATCGACAGCACGATTGTGCTAAAAGCGGTGACGAGTCTCAACAATATGTGTGTGTGTGCATGTCTCGCACGTGCGTCTCACTCTGTGGTCCGTGGTGAGTTGCTTCACGAGTTGCTCCCAGTTCTGAAGGTCGTAGTTGACACGGAAGTATCCCGTCTGGTTTATATTCCCCAGCAACCAGTCGGAACCAATCACATGCTTCATGGTTACACATTCTGGTGGCATAAATTCACGCGAAAAATTAATTCATGCTCGTGTCCATAATTGCATTATCGCATACAGCAGGGAGTAGAAAGGGGTGGGGGGAAAAGCAGTGATGGTGGCGCGCACACCTCTCTACGAAACCTGGGCCACCTGAGTTCAATTCGCAGCCATGGCTAATCAGTAGCGAGTGATATCTGACCCGGTCCAGGGTCCTCCCTAGGCCACGTCAATAACTGTCGCTGATCATACCGGTGAAATATGGTTAAACAATCCCCAGTGACACGGTGCGAGAAGGCCTTCATCCAGCAGTGGTTTAACAAAGGAGCATTAATTAACATTATCATTACAGGAGAATGCAGTCACGGTTAGATCGATGTACGATGATTACTACGTAATACCCACATCATGTTCTGTACGTATATTGTAAAGTTTGAGTGATTTTAAATACGCGTGGAAAATTTGAACCGCACAAACAAAAAGATCCCCCAAAGTCCTGTTAGCAAGCACCTATTAAAGCTGGTACAGCAGACGAGAGGATAAAGTAGCGAGTAACATGTTAACCCCTTCCCATTCCGATTACGTACAGTATGTGTACGTCATCGAAACGGAATCAAAAGAAAAAGTTAAATAACTTTATCGGGACGTCTTCGGGTCGGGAGACGTACCGAGGCGCCCGCAAGGCCATGCGGGAGGGCTTGTGGCACAGTTTAGCGCCAGCTATCACAGAGTGTGGGTCGTGTCACTACAGTTATCGGCGCTATGCTTCTCTAAATAAAATGAACGCTGAATCGCTCGCGCGTGAACGGGACCCATCCTGCAGCTTGCAGTCATCTCGCAACGGGAAAGGGTAAATCCTTTAGCGCATGCCGAATTTCAAAGCACACATTGCAAAAAAAAAAATCCTGTATTTAAAAAAGGGCTTATGAGTAGCTTTGAAAATTGTTATGCTGTAAAAGGTTTAAAAACCAGCTGCCCACCACTCAAATTAAGTGAGGTTGACGAGGGTGTTCATATGCTAACCACCCATGCCACTATTTCCCAAACACACACAAAGACTAAGATCCCCCAGTATAGCCTTAACAGACTGTAGGGGCAAGTGCTGTTAGCGAGCACCTATGAAGGCCGGCACGGTACACGAGGAGGTGGGTGGCCAACACCACGCCCGGCCATCTTTGTCTCCCTAGTAGCGATGTTTACACACCACACCAGGTACTCATTTTAGGCTGCGTCGACCTAGGGGAAACCCAGGACCGGTTCAGATAATCGTCACCGGTGTTGGCCGTGAGCGGGAATCGAACCTGGGTCGCCAGGTTCGTAGCGCAGCGCGCTAACCGCTACACCACCGCTCCCCACCAACACACACACACACATGCAGGCAGAGCCTATTCACAACATGCAACAGACACACTTTTTTACCCGACGGGCGATGCTGAAATGGCTGAGTTGCTTGAAATAGCATTCTAATTTAAATATCATTATAGCACCAGACTAATAACGCCAAAATGCTTGTTAAGTAAGCTCATGAGAAGTTACACAATGGAATAAAGTGCTCAGCCACGCAGGGTCATTCTGCATTAACTTTTTGCAACGACTTCCCACGCTTTTTGAAGACATTTCTGTCAACAAATGTGATGGCCAGTCAAAGTGCATTTGAACTTCAGACACTCTTAAAACACATGATTTACCTTCTGTGATGCATTATTGCAGTTTTTTGTCATTTGAATTACATTTTTAAAAAGAAAGTAAACCAGCTTAATGTGGCTGTCACACAAAATATAAAAGTATAAATGTGCGCTTCATACAATATGAATGTACATTCATTACCCGTCTGGTTTGTAATCCAAATCATTTCATGCTTCCAGAGTCCTGTAGTGTTTCCTGCTGATAAGGTAAGAAGAATTTGCCACCTGAGGACACAACAAAAAAAGTGATTGCTACACGGCGGAGTTCATTATTTTAACACCGAATATGAAAACGGTCTCTGTGAGAAACGGAGCATCAAATGGATTGCAGGGTCGTTAGAGAGAGCCACATATTAAATAGAGACGCTTCACTCTCACCCGCGACATCGTCACACAAAAGCCTGACTCCATGCAACGAGGTCCATTTAATGCGTATGCACTTTGAGCAACAACAACAAAAAACCTTAACGATAATTAATCAAATTTTCATTTAAAGCTTTCGTGACTGCAGTAATTCATATTCTTAACTCTTTCGGTAAAGTCATGGCTTAGCAATCATTGGAAGGATTTGATAAACCATTTCAGGTCTTAATTGATTGTTCACGCTTGCGGTGGCTTTCAGACAGCATACATTAATTTTTCGTCTCCCCCCTCCTCTTTTCAGAACATAGATGGACTCGTCCATCTGAATAACTGCCAAATCGCTATCCGTGGTGCTATCGAAATAAATAAATAAATAAACACACCGCCGCTTCTTTCAAATGTTCTTGCCGTTGGTTTTCACACCTGATGATGACTGCTTGTGTTGCAGTCGAAACGTCGTGATAATTTTAATGTTTTCTATATATATTATTATTTTATTGTTTCCCTTCGACGTGACTTTACCGACGTGTCGAAAAATAAATAAATACATGCAAACACCGTTTAAAAATAAATAAGAACTGCCACTTCTTTCAAATGTTTCTTGCCGTTGGTTTTCACACCTGATGATGACCGTTTGTGTTATGGTCGAAACGTCGTGATAATTTTTTATTGTTTTATATATTTTATTATTTGATTGTTTCCCTTCAACGTGACTTTACCGAAAGAGCTAAGAATATGATCATTAATCACTGAGGTTTCTTCTTCTTTCTTTCTCTGTTGTGACAACTTTGTTTGGTTATTTGTGCTTGTTTTTAGTTTTGGTGCCATTTATACAATTAGTTTATTCATACGTGTGTCTATGTTGTGTGTCTCTTTTTGTGTGTCTCTGTGTTGTCTCTCTCTGCTTGTGTGTCTGTCTGTGTGTCCCCGTGGCTGTGTTTTGTCTCTCTCTCAAATTTAGCAATCTTTGGAAGAACGTAATCAACCAGGTAAGGTGCTGACTGTTGTGTTAGCCAACTCTCTGTGTTGGATTGCATTGTATTTCTAAGTTCACATGGTTTGTTTTCTACCTGATGACGATTGCTTGTGTTGCAATCGAAACGTCGTATTCTATTATTTGATTGATTTTCTTTCTACGTGACTTTCCCGAAAGAACCAAAGAGTTGTTTATTCATTTTAGATTTTTCTTGGAAGGAGGGGTTTTCAAATGCTTTGTAGTGGATGTATATGGGATTTAGTCCTTATATACATAAATAAATGTACAGCGTTATGGGATGCAATTAGCATGGATGATGCTATATACAATTAAATAATCATTCATGAAAACACAAAGCTTTGCTTTTTCCTGCAGCCCTTGCTAATAGGGATTTTCATTATTATACTTTCTCAACTTGTATTCATTGTATTGCTATGGTTTTCTCCGAGTACTCATTTTCACATTTATATAATTGGCTGTATTTCTGAACTGAGGATCGAGAAAAGCAATTTCCCGCAGGCACTTGCATGTTTCCCATGTTGTAATGGAACCACATCATAATTAAACATCAATATTAAACTACTGTGTTTTATTTACCAGTTAAAGCCCACTGAACCATCAGCTAATTTACAGAGGTGACCTGACCACACGTGATAACTCATCGAAGTGGCTCATCATATTCGGGAATCTATAGGAACCAATTAATCTAAACCCTTTTTTCTAAAATGTGAAGGGATAATCAGAGGACCTGGAGAAAATACACGTGATCTTGGGGAGAGAGAACATGTAAACTCAAATTATACAAGCGTCAGGGTCAGGATTGAGCCCACCATCTCCTGCATACCAGACGAGGAAGATCAATTATTGCCATTACGGCATCCAGGCAATTCTTGCAGCATTGCCATATGCGACATGCTCTTCAGCTTGAGAGGAGAAATCTAACATTTTTACGAAAGCTTTAGAAATTATCTGCCACAAGTGGTACTCTGACAATTTTATCTGCATATAAACTAAACTTACAAACAGATAAGTAAGTAAAAGTGATACATGAGTAAATTAATATATATACAGTAGAAAATGGATATAAGAAAACTCATTGGGAGCAAGTCCAAGTGTGCTTATATTAGAACTGTGCGTCCAGTATATAGTGTAAATACATTACATATTGTAAATGTTAAATAAATCACAAAATTAGAAGTAAATAGGTTATGGTGTTAACTCTCATCTAATTGCCAAAATGCAACAACATTCAATCATTTGACCAATCACCAATGGTCCATCTGGCCCAATATATTTCCGTAGTATGAGTTTAAATATGACAAACCCTCGACTAGTTTTGACCTGGCCCAGACTCATCAACAGGCCGCGGCCATGGAGCCGCGCGATAAAACTCACAGCGAGTCATTTTGACAGTTAGCGTTGACATCAGCACTGTACAGAAAGTGCTCTTGCGAGATCCGGAGTTTGCAATCTGGCCCAGCATCTCTGTTGATCGTGACCACCGGGTATCCCATTTGAAGAGTCCAAATATCCATCACCTCGCGGATGTTGTGCGTATCTCCATTCTGCCGGGAGACCTGAGGACAAAATCATCTTAGGAGGCGCAATCTAGGTTTGCCGTGACATCGTGTTGCCACAATACGGTACGATTTTAGGGTAGGGTGGGTTAAGAGGCCAACGCGGGGTAAAATGCCTCGTGTGTCCTGGTGCTAACAAAAATGATGTCATCAGCCACAATCAGTTTGAGCTGCAGATTGGTGGCCCTGCCGCTCGCTTTTGCAGCTCAACAGACAAAAAGTCCTTTTAACTCACGTAGGCCTCTTACCCCGCGTGACTTTCAACTTCCCGATACGACGATTATCGGCAACATCGGTTTTCCCTTGACTCTGTAATTGCATTTCACATTTTTGACCAGTTTATTTTTGTAAGGCGATATATAAAAAAAAGAAAGCGCGCAGTTGGTCTCTCATGCTGTGGCGTTTTTCTGACAGTTTTCCTCAAGACTTCTCAACCGTTTGAAAAACTATTACGCAAGGCCAATTTTTTTACACGATTCGGTAATTTTTAATTTGCTAGATCTCCTCTGTCATGAATTGTGATATCGAGTATGATTTACCAGGCGGGAATATTGAACGCATCTGATGCAAGAAATGTTTTGAAACTTTGGAGCGTGCTCATAATAATGTCACGCGAGATGTTATGCACTGATCACGTCAGGTTGTGGTAATGTTTGTTTATAAAAAAAAAACTCCACGGCAATCACGTGAATGACATATGTTGGTTATTGCGTGGCAATAAAATTACATTACAGCATCTAGTTTCCTTAACAATACAACATAATTACTTATTGCACTGCTCTGTCTGACTCATTTGTTGTATTTTCCCGCGTATTTTTTGTTGTTGTTACAATTATGAGAGAATTATCGGAGCGGGAGGGGTGTCACGGTGGTTAGCGTGCTGCACGATGAACCGATTTGCCTTAGTTAAATTCCCAGGCATGGCTGGCATCAGTGGCAAGTGATAACTGAACCAGTTCGACCCTCCCCCACCAAATTACCAACCCGAACTGACCAGTGTGGCGAAAGTATGGTCAAACAACCTCCAACGGCTGACACAGCATAGTGGAGGGGTAGATTTTATTCATCTGCTTTACAACACAATCCTGGATAATTTCTATTGACCGCGATACGCGCTGTGGAAAAGCCACGAGCGTTGTGGGGAATGACAGTTCATTTTAGTCAACGGCGTGTCAAGGGACAGGCACCATACCTTGTCATTACACCACATCCTTTTAAGTGGACACACCTCCACGGCACCACGGTGACTCTGAGCTGTCAGATTTATGGTGGCGGTGCATTGATCACAAAGCCACATTGAGCCGTATGAGCCTGAGAGTCCTCCTTCACCGTCCTGTGACAGCTTCTCAGCCAAATTGACTTAGCAGAACAAAGCACTGTACCTTGGAAAGGGTGTTCCACAAATCATCCCTTCCTGCATTTCCAAACATGTAAGTCTTCAGGTAGTCCTGCCAGGCACAATAGCGAAAAATACACAAGCAAGCTCGCACACAAATACTACATTAGCAACATATCACACCACTGCTGTGTGCGTTTGCATTGTGCAATGGCTGTAAGAGAGAAATATCATGCTGCGTGTTATGTGTTTTTTGGAAATACAGTTCATCAATATTATGTTACTCGGTTTTATAGAGGGAAATTCGATCGCATACTAAAGCAAAGGAATAACACAATTATTGGTACTTTATTACAAATACTGTAATTATAGTTAGATTCTGTGTCAACTATGTTACATTGGGAATCAAAACCGTGCAATTAAGAAAAATATATATTCCGTCAAATTCGATCTGATAATATTGGCTCCTCTTGTTTTATAATCTAGCCAGAAATCATGAACTTTGTATTATTGCGAGCATTCATGTATTTTAATAGAAGATAATGATCCATGATTTTATTTTAAAAGCTAACCCTGGGAATTATTTTAAAAAGTATGAAATCATCCAGTGGATTACTCTGCCTTTTGAGAAAATGGTTATATCTCTTATCAACTCCTGAATTAAATCAAGCTTTGGTATTTTAGGTTTGTTTTTTCTCTCTCTCACTCAATTTTTTTCAATCCTACCACAGTTCTGTAACCTGCATAAAATACACGGTTGACTGAGCACCCAAAGATAAAAAATAGCTCGCAAAGGGAGAGTCGTATAGACCGATAGAATTATACAGAGAATTCCAATTCAGGCAGCCCGTATGGTCCTCTGATGCTGTCACGGGAAAAGAGGTTAATCCCTTTCTTACCAAAAATTCAATTTCAAGTGCCCTAGATAAAGAGAAGTACTTTTTATTTATTTTACTTTTTCAGAATTGCTTGAAAGGTAAAAAAAAAATGGAATAGAATAAATAAAAGGTTTTGCCCAGAGATTACACTAAAGATTGGGAAGGTGAAATTATTTCCAAGATTTGGATGAGCGCCAAGAAAGATAGTATCATCACCGTAAATGTGACACTCACTTGTAATCCTTTTTTAAAGGAAGCTTTTCCCATGAAGTTCGCCAGCATTCGAATCAAAGCAGCGCCCTGCAGATATAACAATCATGCACAAAATTCCATGAATCAACACTTTCGGCTGTAAAAAGTAGATTGCTTTCCTGTTACGAGGACAACTCTTGCCAGCTTACCCGTCATTTGTCGCATGTGCCGCGCATTTTTTTTCCTTTAACCTATGTTTGTTTATAGCACTGCCAACTCAGGGCCAAATTAAAAAAAAATTAAACAAGCAACAAAAAATATTCAAACGGCATAAAGCATTAAAATTAACTTTGTAACACTTATCGCGGAACAAGTGTCACACACAAACGGTTGCATGCAATTCAAAACGTGTAAATTGGTTAAACATATTTATACATTTATAAACGATAGTTTTTGGTATACATTAATACATTTAAAATAAATACAATTTATTTATCGACACTCTAATGGTTAATGTATCATCATTGCCATAATCACTCATTGTCAATCCGGTGCAAGATGATGGCTTCCCCATTGTCAATCTAAGTGAACAACCAATATAAGACATAGGCAGATCTAGATAGCAACCTTAGTTAACCAAACTTAACTATTTTTACTTTCCCAGTTAAGACACACTGAGCTATATAGCTCTTTTTTCAGAAGCAACCTGGCCACAAACGATAGCTCAACGAAGTGGCTTATCACGTGTAAATGTATAGAAGCCAAATGCTCTAAAAGCCTGTTTCTAAATGTGGAGGGGAAAACCGGAGGATACGGAGAAAAATCCACGCAACCACGGGGAAATCATGCACACTCCAAATATACAGGTGTAAGGGGTTGGGATTAAACCCAAGACCTCCTGTGTACCAGGTAAGGCGGTAACATCTTGCCACAGCGGCGCCCCTATGTGCTTACGAGCCCTTTAAAGTCACATTGAATCCACAATTTGTTGTTGTTATTATCAGAGAGTGGGTAGGGGTGGCATTATGTCACAACACCAGGCGAGGGATTTAACATCTCGCCACTGTGAGATTATTTTTTCAGTCAATGGTTATGGCGTGGAAGCCAACCACTCACCACACTTGAGAACCGGGTTTATCTATGGGCAACTGCCCGGATTTGAACCCAGAATCTCAGTGGTACTCGCTCAACACTCCGAAACTCTGAGTCACCTGGTAACCAAATAATTAACATTATTAAAATAACGACCCAAACTTATAGCCTGGTTCGTTGATGTTCATTGATTATCACAAAAAAATTCATTAATTTATTTTTTTATAGCTGTGTAATGTGTTTGAACATTTGCTATGCGTGGGCTGATCACTTAAAACAACTGTCATTATAAATCTGTCTGCCATTCAGATGAACATTTCAGGCAATTAGATACACAAAAACACAAATGAAAATATTGCCACTGTGCAAGAAATCGCAAACTAAATAATTTGAAATCTGTTTCACAGTTCGGCAAAACAAAAAACATAGCAGGCTTAAATACGAACGAATACTAAATTCAAACGCTAACATATGTAAATGACTCATTCATTTGCCTGCGTTCCTTGTGTTTGGTGTTTGATAGTAACCTTAGTTATCCAAGAAATATGCGTGGATAAATAATTAACATGACTTGTTCTCTGCCTATTTTAATGTGGCTGATATAGTCGCAGCCTTTTTATTATCAGCCACATGATAATGATATTTAAATAGTTAAAATTAGTGGAATATATAAAAACAATTGCTGAAAGCGTTAAAACCATATTCTGTCATTAAAAAAGCAACTGCATAACTGAGCATGTACTATATGTCTACAGTATATGTGTATTCTGTAAACCTTGTCTCGAATGGATTTGAGTAAAACAACATTTTAGTTTTAAATCCCTGCAATGGAGATGCCATCTTGGAAAGAAAAAAAAACCTTGACATTTCAACAAATCGACATCATGGTATTTAGAAGGTAAAAGGTTGACAAAATGATTTTTCCCCTTGGCATGCAAGTAGCGGCTCTTAAAGAGCAACATGGAACCATTACACACGATAGAGAGAGAACTAAAAACACACATTGGAGGTATTCTATGCAGATCTCGATAGCAAAAAAAAATGATATACACCGGAAAACTGATAATTTTTCAGAAGAGGATGTCCCAGGTGTCACACTTGCAGAAATATCCGCTGCCCTTTGCAGGATGAACAATGGGAAAAAATCTCCCAGACTAGATAGAGCAACTGTGGACATCATAATGGAGCAGGACCAGCTGATAGGGCAAAATTATCAGACTTATTTACCAAGAAAGAAAACCTCAACAATCTTGATTTGAAGCTTTCGTGACTGCAGGAATCCATACTCTTTGGTTCTTTAAGGTCGTGATATATTGTTTTTTTATTTTGTTTAATTTTTCTACCTACGTGACTTTACCGAAAGAACCAAAGAGTATGAAAACCTCAACAGTGCAACAACGCCTTGTATATTTCTATTCAAAGAGAAAGACAGCGCTGATTTAACAAAATAGACTTATTATCGTTTTACCACAAATATACACACTGTCCCTTAAAATCATAGAGAACTAAATAATGGAAAATTTAGAGGCACCAATCCATGGACTACATAGAACAATCAGGCATTATTTGTAAAAATATAACAATTGAAAGCAAATACCATTACGCCTAGATTTTGTAGACTAAGTAAAGGCTTTTCATATTCTTTCGGTAAAGTCACGTAGAAGGGAAACAATAAAATAATACAAATATAAAACAATAAAATTATCACGACGTTTCAACTGCAACACAAGCAATCATCATCAGGTGTGAAAACCACAGCAAAAAAATTTGAAACAAGTGGCGGTTTTTTTTAATGTTAGCACCACGGAGAGCGATTTGGCAGTTATTCAGATGGATGAGTCCATATATGTTCGGAAAAAAGGAGGGGGGAGACGAAAATAATGGATGCGGTCTGAAAGCCACCGTAAGCATGAACAATCAATTAAGACCCGAAATGGTTTATCAAATCCTTCCAATGATTGCTAAACCAGAATCCATCTTCTCGGTTGAAATTGTCTCTGTGTTTGTATATGTGGATAGCCTCATGAACGAATCTCTCATGGTAGCCAGATGGCTTGCAAAGAACCTCTGTCTTGGAGAAGTCAATGTCATGTGAGCCTACTGAATTATAACAGTGATCTGCCACGGCCGAGGTGTTGGTCCTACCGTGTTTTAGGTCTGCTTTGTGTTCACGAATGCGGTCCGAGACATGTCGTTTGGTTTCTCCAATGTAACTACTACCACAGAGGCAACTTAGTTTGTAGACGCCAGGGTACTGTATGTCCACAATCACATCTTTTACAGACGGAACCAGATCACGGATTTTATGTGTTTATTCAAGATTTTGGAGATCTTTTTTTCTGATCCCAGCAATGTAGGGTAAAGTGATGGTTTTGAAAGGCTCCTCAAGAGGGGATCACAAAAAAGATCTCCAAAATCTTGAATAAACACAAGATCCCGGTCCGATTCAACACATTACATAAAATCCGTGATCTGGTTCCGTCTGTAAAAGATGTGATTCCGGACATACAGTACCCTTGCGTCTACAAACTAAGTTGCCTCTGTGGTAGTAGTTACATTCGAGAAACCAAACGACACGTCTCGGACCGCATTCGTGAACACAAAGCAGACCTTAAACACGGTAGGACCAACACCTCGACCGTGGCAGATCACTGTTATAATTCAGTAGGCTCACATGACATTGACTTCTCCAAGACAGAGGTTCTGTGCAAGCCATCTGGCTACCATGAGAGATTCGTTCATGAGGCTATCCACATATACAAACACAGAGACAATTTCAACCGAGAAGATGGATTATAGCTTAGCAATCATTGAAAGGATTTGATCAACCATTTCAGGTCTTAATTGATTGTTCACGCTTACGGTGGCTTTCAGACCGCATCCATTATTTTCGTCTCCCCCCTCCTTTTTTCCAAACATAGATGGACTCGTCCATCTGAATAACTGCCAAATCGCTATCCGTGGTGCTAACGTTTAAAAATAAATAAATACAAACCGCCACTTCTTTCAAATGTTCTTGCCGTTGGTTTTCACACCTGATGATGACTGCTTGTGTTGCAGTCGAAACGTCGTGATAATTTTATTGTTTTATATATATTATTATTTTATTGTTTCCCTTCGACGTGACTTTACCGAAAGAACCAAGAATATGAATAAGGGCTTGATAGTTATTTATTTTTAAATTGTATACTTCTCAAACCCATTGACCTTCGGGCAGTGTTTAAGCATCGTTTGCACGAATAAGTAATATCATATATGTTTCTACTATTTACTTCCTATGTGAGGTGTTTTGTGAATTGTGAAAAATCTCGGTTTGGTGGACAATTAAAATTGTTTTAAAATAAAAAAAATAAACTAACCACAGTACTGTGTATGTGTGCATGACATTTATTGAAAACACATTTCTAATTTATACATGCACAGAATTCCGTCTGCCCCCTTGCAGAACTAATCATCATCCAATTCGTGTAATGCTGATGCAATTGGACCAGAAGGACGTGTGAATCTCGCGAATTATCGTCACATGTCCCCAATGTCCAGACACATTGTCGCCTCTCTGAACTAAATTAAACTGCACTGGTTTGTCAAAAGTGTCGAGAAGAAATCCCCAGAAATAACCCAACATAGCACATCCCTCGAGTCCAATTCAGCAATGCGTATGCGTGAGTGTGCATGCGGTCAACAAACACTGAGACGGATATTTTTTAGAATTGCCATCGAAATGCCATCGAGTCACTGGCCTTCTTGTAAGCGATCCAGTCAAAGACCCTTGAGATGTCCTCTGGCTGGGACACGTCCTGGGAGATTGGATGGGAGCTGCATAGACCGTCAGGCAGCATGATATCATGTAGGTCATCAATCAGGAAGCGCTGGGTCTCCTGCACGCAAGCACGCACGCAAACAGACAGGCACGCACATGCTATAGGGCAGGGCAACACGCTGAGGCCCGCAAAATCGCAAGTTCACAATCGCACTTGCACGAGTGTCATGATTAAAGATGTGAGGGGGGAAACGAAAACTTCACTGCCATCATCGTTCGTAAACACTTTATTGTTGTCAATGGAATTATGCTATACGCCTGGCGAAGATGCTGCCTCGGTGATAATCCAGAGGTCGCCGGTTCGATCTCCCGGCGCGGCAGCTGAAACGATGGGGCAAGTTTCTTAAATTCCCCACACGCCACTGTCTACCCAGCGGTATAAACGGGTCACACCACAGTCGATTGACAGGTTTCCTATGTTGGATGACAGTGTAGGCATTGTCTCAGCTTCAAAGATTTCTGGCTGGCTCGGAAGAGTAGGCCAAATACTCTCGAGGGGCCCTCCAGAGCCCCCCCTCGTGGAGACCCTCGGGTCGGACTGCATCTTAGACCTTTAATATGCGAGCCAAGTAATTATACTCTTTGGTTCTTGCGGTAAAGTCACATAGGTATAAAATCAAATAATACCTACGTGGGTTTACCGAAAGAACCAAAGAGTATGGATTCCTGCAGTCACGAAAGCTTCAAATCAAGCAAGTCATTATGTGCACAGTTTATAAATTGACAAGACATACAGTAGTAGGCTTTTGCAGACGATATGATGACGGTGGAGGGCCTCGTGGCATAAATCTGGCTAGATCATTTCATCGCTTAACCCAACAATTTAATTTGCGGATTAGAAATTGGTTATTACGCTCGCCATATGTGCAACGAAAAAATGAGAGCACAGATTATTTACGATCGATGCACATTCTAATAAAGTGCCATGCCACTGTCAAACTGAGACTATTCGCGTGAACAAAACAATTCAAACGAGACGTGGGAAAAAACGAGACGTAAGAATGGACCAATAAATCAAACAGTGGTGCAAAAATGTGGCAATTCGTTACCTTTGTGGTGCTGGTGAATCGTTACATTCCTAGTTGCACACAAATAAGATAACGTTTTTATGGCAATGGCTTTGTTTTTCTTGAAAGTAAAAACAAAAGAGAGTTTGATTTCTACTTTGTGACAGCGTTTTACAACGTGGATTCTCCAAAAGTCTGTGAAATTAAGAAATTACATATCGTGCATATGTATGAGTACTGAGGGACCACGTGGAAGATCCTAAGTAGATGGTTGCATTCTTTAGAGCGGACCTTTGTGGGTCAGATGTGAGCCGTGCAACAGCTTGGGACCTGGCAAAGGAAGGAAGTGATGGGAAGACGCCGTAGCATCAAACTTATTGGCCTTGATGGCCTCTTGACCTTGACATTAATCTTATTCTGGATATCAAAATATAATGAATATCCATTTTTATGCATTCACATTGAAGAGTAAACTAATTAAAACAAATTATAATCAGCTTAGCTTAAGGGCACATTTAATTTATCTCAAAGCACCAATTTAATACTTAATTTTTGTACATGTAAAAAATGTTTTTGCAAATAGCATCTAAAACCCGTATGTACTGCGATATTAATCGTAACCGACCGGGACCATTGTGCATCGCCTCAACAGGTTCGCCTACTCGCACATATCGGCAGCTTATCACGATGAAAAGGGGGCTGACATATGCATATACGAGCAAGGCTCAAACTCTAACAGCTGGAAAGTCTGAGCCGGAGGCATTTACGCTGCAAATATGATGCGGCGTAACCTCACCGGCCTTCCCGATCCGATGCTTGGGTCGGATTTCAGCATCTTTGTGCTGAAATAATTTGAGATTTAAAAAAAATGTTTGGGCTTCCTGCAGTCAATGGAGTTCACGTTCCCGCCACTAATTGCCCTGGAAGAAGGCTTTTGCGTGAAGTTTAGAAATAGCAAAGCATGTTGATTTGACCATGGGGCATCGTTAGGCCGATAAAGTTTTTCTTTCTTTCAAGTCTGTCATGCCCTGAAGTGCAGGATTTGATATTCGAGGGGCTTGGAACGTAGCCTGACCCCAGCTATGTAACGAGCCCGTGATTGGCACTAATAGATGGAGCTAACCTTTTCCCCTCTGTTCAAGATAGTGGCACCGGGGTGAATCTCATCGCATGCAGGTTTTAACAACACGTGGTTCTAAGGGTGCCTGAGGTAAGTGGTATGTGTATGCCTATCTAGATGTCGCCTGATTCGAGAGCGAATATACGGCAATACTGAACGAACTAAAGTATTTTTATATTTTCTCACGCACGCACAACTAATGTAAGCTTGTAAATATACATGGCAGACCGCTTGACTCATAACCAACCGATCTAAAGATCACACTTCTGCATCTGGTTGCGTCAACCGACTATTGTGATGAAGTTGATCACATGAGGACCGCTTTGCGGGGGATCAACATTGGTTGTTGTGGAGACTGGTCCCACTAAGGGTTTATAATTGCTGGCAATTTTATTTCGGGCAACAAGCAGACTTAAGTGGTACTGAATACGTGCTATCGAACACAGACGGTCACTGCATCGCGTGCTTTCAGATGCACTTCTGCGGCCGTCTGGAACGCTCTTCCTTCCGACATTAGGAAGCCACTGGAGCTGTGCACTTTTAAATTTAGATTTAAAACTAATTTCTTTAGAACTATATTCTTGGTTCTTTCGGTAAAGTCACGTAGAAGGGAAACAATCAAATAACAAAAATATTAAATAAATAAATTCTCACGACGTTTCGACTGCAACGCAAGCAGTCATCATCAGGTGTGAAAACCTGATTGCTTGTGTTGCAGTCGAAACGTCGTGAGAATTTTATTGTTTTATATTTTTATTATTTTATTGTTTCCCTTCTACGTGACTTTACTGAAAGAACCAAGAATATGAATCCCTGCAGTCACGAAAGCTTTAAATACAAATTCTTTAGAACTGTTTGTTGTATTTTGTTTGTTGTACTAACTCCATACCTCCGATTATCATAGTGGCTGCGTATGGTGCAAAAGAATTCCAACACAGATACAAAACGAGTTTGAGCAGGGAAATGTTTCCTTTTGATTGACTTCCAATAGTGCAGTTAATCCTGTTTCTTTAAATCAATTACCATGACGTACTATGCACTATAAAACCGGTAACCTGAATTTTATTCCCAGTTATGTTGAGCGATTGATATCTGATCCGGTCCCGGGTGCCCCTTGTCCAACCACATGAACAAGCGGGGTAAAGTATGGTCATAAAATGCTCTTGCAGCCTCCATCCACCAGTGTATTGATGCTAAATGACCGCAGATTGGTTTATTGAGTGACCCAAGACCAGTTCAGACATCAGTCGCCATTGATGTTACCCATGGTTGTGAATCAAACTCAGGTTGCCAGGTTAAATTTTCGAGGTGCCGCCGCTTATTCACCCCAAATTATTAGCTTATCATATATATTTGTTCTGGTTATGTTCCAAGGAAGTGCTAATGTATGGCAAGTCATGAGGCGCGTTTGATTTGTGCTTTTATACCACCAAAATAACCTTCCATTGACTTTAATATGCATGAAGTGCCTTCCTTTTGACATGCTGACAATGCCAAATTGCATCACGGCACCACAGTTTACAGATGCGAATGGCTTATCGCACGCGCTCTCCAGTTGTGCACAATCGCAGGCATTGGGGGAGAAAGCGCTTAATTTAAATCAACAAATGAGGTCACTGATTGATCCATTGGAATGCAAAAAAGCGGTGATTTCTATCAGAGCTGACTTCAACCGGTGGAGTTGTAATTTGAGAGCCAAGCAGCTGCCCTGCACACGCTGGGTTCTTTGAGAAATGCCGCGCACTGAGAGGTGGCTGCGTGGCTCTCAGGGGGCGTCGGGCCTCAGGCTGCATCGGAGCCACCGCGAGCCGGCACTGCTGAGGTCCTGGGTGCAAATGTGAGCATCCACCTGTCATCAAACTGGCTTCTTGAGTTTTAGCAAGTCGACAAGTTAGCCCAGTCGCCAGTGTTCGCACAAATGTGCCGTCTCGTTAAATTTGCCATTTCACTTCAAAGTAATTTCGGCTCGTTCTGGTTCTGAGGACTGAATCATTCTGTTTGGATGCCAGGTGCTGATTGCTCTCTTCAGGGCATATAAAAGGTGCGCCTCCCCAGTAAGCACAAGAGGCTGTTGAAGGGTTTTAGAACTATGTCTGCTATATCGTCTTCCAGGGAGCATTCTAACATGAGGTAATGTTGCACTGCTCCCTATGAGAGGTGAGAATGGGAAATGTATTCGTCTCTTTGCATGGCACTCATATCACAGTTAAGATATGCACAGTCCACACGTATATGAATTTGTCATTCCACTGTGGGTTGTGCGGGTTATTAGACCATACTTCACCGTGCTGGTCAGTTCAGGTTGACGAAGGTGCCCTCTAATGCTCACACAACGTATATTTACGTATGTATTTTGAAGTTCTTTTGCACCGTACGTAGCCAACCACGCTGCCTTTTGTACACGGTGATTACACTTCCAAACAATACCCAGTCTCAAGCAGGCTTAGCTCCTGAGATCTTAAAATTCAGAGAGATTTGGTCACAGGTCTATTCAATTTCTAATTAATTATAATGTAATTCAGAGGAGAACAACAACAAACAAGAAAAAAAAACACGTATATAAATTCCAGCGCTGGTATATATTTCATTCTCATCGCACCTCAATTAAACAGCTATATAGCCCCCTTAAGGATTATGTGGGCAGGATGTGAAGCAGGATTTTTTTTATTTATGCCCAGACTGGGGTCAAATGTCATCGCTACATGAAAGGCAATTTCGTTTTTTTTTCTCTCATTGGCTTGGAAGACACCCAAATTTCAGCAGTGGTTTCAAGCATTTCTCCGGCATTTATCATGCGTGAAAGTAAATGCGCACTGAAACTGCCTCTGTTGATGTATATCGTGACTTTTATTCAAAGGTACGATCCACAACTTATCCAAAATATCAATAGAATGTTTATATCTTAGCTTTTAAGTTGACATTTGGATTTTT